TTTCTTCGATTCGAAAATAAAAAATGAAAAAATAAAAGGTGACGTCTTCAGTCAACAATGTCTACTAATTAAATTTAATTACAGAAAAGTTGGTCAAAGTGAAACACCTAAAAGTAATTTTCTTCAAAATTGAAACCACTCTTGATGGCCTCAGCTCCCACGCAAATATTCAAAAATATGCTCAAAAAAGGGGTTAAAAATGTATAAACACTCTCTTTCTTCTTTTATTTACTTAGTCATCCGTTCAAGAATAAAAAATAGACGTTTACTCACGTCCCTCGTCAACAATGTCTCAAACAATTCACTTCAACCAGAGAAAACATCGATCGGAACAAAATACTAAAAATAATTTCCCTCGAAGCCGAAGTTCTTCGAAAGAACTTCGACAACACTCTATACACATTTTCGTCCCACCCCAGATAGCAATAAATATTTCACCGGAATTTCCTCGGAGTACCTTTAACGCCACACGTCAAACATCAATTCTGCCAAGGGTGAAAATAAAAATGGCTTCTTCTCCCTCCCGGAAGGTACACGAAACATATAAGAAAACAGCTCACGGGCAGCGATATTGCTCTCTCGATGGAGTGCCTAGGACGACCGTTCGGAGAAATATTATTCTAAATCGAGGAGTTGTCGGGTGGAAGGTGATATCCAAACTGGAATGCCAGTCGAACAGGCGACAAATGTCGATAACTTTGTCCGCGTCCCTTGTGGCCGGCTCTCCTGCGATCGTCCAGAAGGATCAAGGACGCGACGTGAAACACAATTTCCAGTTTCGTTTACGATATCACCAGATTACGCGCTCGACCTTCCTTAAAGATCCGTCAAAACGTTTCTGGAATCTGGGAAAACCCTAACGGGAGCTTTGCAACGCTTTTCGGGAGAAGAGAGACATTCTTCTGTTCCTAGGAGAATTATCGTGGTTGAAATGATTTTAGATGGATTTAGCAATTTTTGAAATTTTGACGATAGAAAGGTGGAAATATTGTTGGAATGGTTTCAAAGTTTCACTGACTACAACAGTAAAATTATTAAAAATTGAGTGGAGAATTAATAGAGAAAATTAATACCGAATTAATAGAGAATTAAAATAATCTCAAAATTTCTAAGTTTTTCAAGAGTTTTTCAGAGAAACAGGTGGAAATATTGTTCGAAAGGTTTCAAAGTCGTTGGCCTACTGACTGTAACATTAAAATTATAAAAAATTCAATAGAGAATTAATAGAGAATGAAAGTAATCCCAAAATTCCTAAGAAAGTCTGATATTTT